AAAAAAAAAAAAATGTTGCTTGAAATTATATTTCAGAAATCAGTTAATTAAACTACATCGATCGATTCTCGTATGAAATAAAAATCAAACGAATATGATGAGAATGTTGAGGATAGATTCGATTAAATCGCTTTATTTTGCGGTCATTGGAAATTCATGAGACGCCAAACGCCAAATTAATTAATCGTCGCGACGTTAATTATCAAGGAATAACAGCTTGGGGTCATGGGAAAAAGGATTTATTTATAAGCGAGCCAATTCATATGCATTATCGATTCTAACCGTTTTATCATCGAGACATTTAGATAGCCGCCGAACTGGGACGTCCGCTATATCTCTGTACAAGTTTTGCAATTCATGCGGTGGAAAGGCGCTTATAACAGCGCGTTTATTTTTAGCCATTAGCTCGTTATACGATTAAGAAAAATCACTTTTAATCATACTTGAATCAATTAAAAATGAAATTGAAAATGAAATTCAAAATTTGTTGGTCATTGAGTCATAAAATATGATTATTATATTGATTAAAATTAACACAAATTTTTTCGAATGCCATGATACGTAATAAATCGTTAGGATAATAAGATAGAATATTATATGATAATTACGTTGAAACAGAGAAGCTTGTACGTATAAATACCGATGCAGAATTTCCCTTTCAAGTAAAATCGAAGCAATGGGATATCGACCTCCTATGATCATGAAACAACACCTCTTTGTCGAGGCCATACCTCAAATTCCATATTAGATTTCCACGAAACCAGTATTGGATTACTGGGCTATCAGACGAGACGATTCAGGCCTTTCTTAGAATTATGATCACAAGACTTGGATAGTTTTCATTTCAAAATTATGATACAATGTAAATTACATTGTACTGCATCACGCATTTTGAATAATTTGTAATCTATTCAGAAATTATGCGAGATTAATATTAGAGAACTATTAGAGAAATATTAGAGAATATAAAAAGCTCAAAATTTGATCTTGAATTTTAAAATAAAATTCAGAACCGTGGTAACAACTCGATATCTATCTCAAGAAATTCCCCTACTTCTTTCGTATTTCATCATTTTGAATATCGCAGAAGTCATTTCCATCTTGTATCAATGTGTCTTACTTTGTAATCGCGTAATTAATCGTGCCATAAAGTTGTTTTAATACATATACTCTGTAATGTATCTCAAGATAACTGCACTCTCGAAATAGCTCTTCTACTCTAAATTATGGCAATTAACGCGATGATAATTCTCTCAACTCAAGATATTATCTACTTCCATACAATTATCACGATAAAAAATTAAAAATTAACGCACCATTTATTAAGAAACTATTACAAATTTATAAAATTTTTATCTTTGGTAACATTTATAGATCCATTTATCTAGTTATAAACTTTTATACGATTAAAATGTAAAATTAAATTATTCAATTAGTATATAAATATATATATATATATCATTAAGACACATTCAAAAAACAGAGAAAATAGTGCCAATGGTGTTCCTTTTTTGTTTTACCCCGATATTTCAATCGGTTACCAAGATATAAGAATTCAAAGTGTCCATAATACTTTAGACAATGCTTAAGATATGAATGGGTCCGCAATTTAGTCATCTACATTTTTTCCTGGAAGAAATGCATATTTCTTCCACTTGTCTGAAGTTTGGAATAGGTTAGCGAAGCCAGAGTTCCGAGGATTAAAAAATTACCATTCTCTTTACACGACGATATCTCAAGAACTAAAACTTGTATTGGAATAAATCAAAAGACGTTTTAAAGAGTAAAATTTGACGCTTCTAATGATCGTTCATTCGATCACCAGAAGCCACTAAGTTCGGAGTTATAGCGATTCAAAGTTTTTCTAATTTTAATACGCTTAGCTACGTGATATTTGTTGACGTCCAATCCATAAATGTTGGAAATAAAAATTAACGATCATCTTGCTTCTGTCGTTATATATATGAAATGTATTTTTCACTTCGCAGAATTCTAAATAATATCGAGATATGTTCAAGCAAAAGAATATGAAAAATTGTAACGATCATTATGATGAATAGTCCGTATTATGAGCCACGCTCCTCACGGAATAATTAAATCCACACACAAATTTGAAAGAAACAATAAGGGTCGTAATTACAATGCAGTGATCAATTATTCGGTAAATTATAGCTGTTTACGGTCACGAATGCACACATTATTAAATCGATCGAGTCGAACTGTTATTTCGCGTGTTTAAACATTTTCTTCGTGGTTACAAAAATGTTTTACTTGATAATAAATTTATCATTTTGAAATAAAATAATTTAAAAAAAAATGAATAATTTTTTAAAGAATTTCAAATATTATTAAATGAACTTCAATTTACTGCATGAACTAAAATATTATATAAAGAAAGTATAAATTATGTTACGAAAAGAATTTTATATTTTTTCTAAAAAAAAAAGAAAAGAAAATTGAGGGAATTGCCTCGAGATATAGCAATATAGGGCACTGTTACTCTAGTAAAATAAGTTACTTAAAATACATGGGACTCGAAAAAGTGGGGTAAAAATAAAATTTACAGAGAGGAAACGCGATAAACTAAGAGATATAACTAGGAAGACGGAACTGTAACTTGAACGAATCCTTTTCGAATTTTCAACTACGGCAGGCTACTGACTTAGAGACAAGGACGATCTCATAGAACATTTACTGCATGAGAAATGAAGCATGCTCTTCTCCATGATATCAAGACTATCCGTACTAAACTGATCCACAGTCGAGAAACTACGAATTTCACGATTCTGACTCTCGAGAGAAAATTTAATTATTTAGTCACGATGGTCAAAATGCGACTACTATGCGACTCTTCAAGATCCTTATTGCAATCTACACTTACATATATATAAAATTTATTATTCTTTCTTTTCATAAAAATTAATTTAAAGACAAATAAACGAAGAAATACATTTACGTAAGGAATAAAAATATTCATTTTATAACAGATCTAAAAAAATAAATAATCTCGTTTCGACGTTGCAACTTTTATCAGTATTTTTAAAATATCATGAAAGATATATCAAGATTTGATGTACGTATATATTTTTCCATATATTTTGAAGGAAAGAAAATATTAAAATTTTTAATATCTTCATCGTTACTTACGCAAACTGTTACACAAATGATTTAATAATTTCGAAACCAATAGATATCAAATACTCGAAAGTAAAGAGCTGATTGAAAAAAAATTAAAAAATCGATTTTCATTTAAAACTCGTTTCGAATTAACTTAAAATTAAACTTACAAATATACGACAAAAAAAGAAAAAAAAAAAAAATAACGTATCTCGATAATACCAAATTCTCTCGCTACTTTCACTGTCACGCGAGCGATGAAAATTTGCAAATCGTCTCAACAAATTTTTCCGTCGATTATACACAGGTCGCGGTGAACTCGAAAGCAATTTAATTTATGCCCGTGGTCCGCATCAGCACGCGAAGACGATCCACGAGCCGATGCGGAATAACAAACGAAGCAACGATAGAATATGCACGAGCACGATATGTAGGGCGATATTTAACAGTTGGAAATGCAGATGCCTCGAGATTTCACCACTTCCTCGGTATATTCGATTCGAATAAAGCCAATCTCGCGTACCGCACCCCCTGA